AAGGGCCACGCGAGGCCGGGCTGCCGGGGAAGCCCCTGCTCCCTCCTGGCCATCCGGCAAGGCTGAGCATGTCTCCGAGGCTCTGGGGACACCTCACCAGCGTTGGTCGTCCCATGCGGAGCGGCGTCTCAGGGCAGGGAGTCCCTCTAACCGCCCCCTCCGCCTCACTGCCAGATCAAATCCAACAAGGACAAGGAGACCAAGGTTTTCTACAGCATCACGGGGCAGGGGGCGGACACCCCCCCCGTGGGTGTCTTCACCATCGAGCGGGAGACGGGGTGGCTGGAGGTGACAAAGCCGCTGGACAGGGAGGAGATCAACAGATACATCGTGAGTCGGGTGCCGGGGCGGGACGTGGTCCCGGGTCCTGGCCGCAGCGCTGACCACGCGCCTTGCAGCTCTTCTCCCATGCTGTGTCGGCCAACGGGCAGCGCGTGGAGGAACCCATGGAGATCATCATCACGGTGACGGACCAGAACGACAACCGGCCCATGTTCACCAAGCAGGTCTTCGTCGGCTACATTGAGGAGGGCGCGAAGCCGGGTGCGTGGGCTGCACGATGGGAGACGTGGGGTCCTGCAGCCCAGCTGGGCAGGACATGTGGAGCTGCGAGCCAGAGCTGAGCAGACACCTGGCAGGGTTTGTCCTGCAAGTGAAACCTCTTCTGCTTGTTCCTGTGCCCAGGTACCTCTGTGATGACAGTGAATGCCACGGATGCGGACGACGCAGTGAACGTGGACAATGGCATCATCAGATACTCCATCCTCAGCCAGGAGCCACCGCACCAGATGTTCACCATCGACCCGGAGAAGGGCATCATCAGTGTCATCGCCACGGGGCTGGACAGGGAGGTGGGTGCCCACACCATGTCCTGCAGGGCTGCGCGGCAGCTCCGTGTGGTGCACCTGGGGAGGCAGTGGGGTTTGCTGCAGGGAGGTGGGGGACACTGGAGCTCTGGGGTGCAGTCTATTTGGGGACACACCATCACTGTGTCACGTCACCATCCCCTGCTTTGGGTGTGTCTGGGGCCCTGAGCCCAGCGGGGGTCTGTGATGAGGATGTTGTAGAGGGACCCCAGCCAGGGGATGTTGGAAAGCATGCCAGCAGGGACAGCCATGGCTGGAGAAGGGTGGAAGA